CAGTCAAGTCACCGCTTGATAACACTAAGATAGAGCCAATAGTATACTTACTTGAAGCCCTCTGCTCTGCATTTCCTGCATCGGTTCCATGGTGAGCGCTTGATGCGGAGGAGACAGAAACCCGAGTGGAATTCGACTGGTGAGCCGACTCGTTGGGAGACTTCAGATCTGGAATGAATTTTCGTATGCCTCTGGATTTCTTCTTCGATTTCTTTGCAGTGGGCGACATTTGGTCGGCCATGATTATGAGTGCGAGAGATGAGGACAAGGGAAGACACGGCAGGGCAGTGTCAGGGCGTCTGTCATTCAATTCGTGCAACTTGCTGGTGAAGCAAGGGGTGCCTGGATTACTGAATATGTAAACCAGGGTGTTTTGATGCGCACTGCGAGTTGAGATTGGAAACAGTCTGGAAGTTCTCTAGTTCACAAGATTACTGAAGGCGTGGCAATGGGTCGTTTTAACTGGGTCGTAGTTGTGGTGGTGGTGGTGGTCCACTCATCTCCCTAGTTCCCGTGTGCATTTCGAATACACACAGTACACAAAAATTGACAAAATCATATTCTACATCCTAAAAACCAGGGAACGTCCGTACGCTACTCAGTCCTTCAGTAAGTAACAGAGAGTTCACGTCGCAAAAATCCCAATGATCTTAAACATCGGCACACTCTGTCCTTCTTTACCCAACAACTGACATTCCACGAAATGAGAGCCTCGTCCAACATGATGGTCGATTGTTTTCAACCTACACCAACCAACCATCATAGGACGTATGTAGGTAAAGCATCCCCAATATCCGCCGCATTCTCGATAACCTTCACACCAGCATAATTATCATCAACCTTGCATCAACCCAACACTCAACCGAACTCCCCTCCCCAACGACCCCAACCAGCTCCCTCAAATAATACACCCCAATATCCCCCCCTCCAACCTGTATCGGTATCCTAAGCTTACTCGTTGGAAGCACAGAATGCCAATAATGTGCAGCCGTAATCAGGGCATCCCCATCACTCCCGCTCGCATGGTCTGCGAACCACCCCGAGCCGTAGAACAAGGACGGTGGTAAGGGGTTAATGAGGTCGTTTGCAGAGACGCAGAACGGTGCGATCTCTTTGAATGGCCGGTTCCCGTTTGGTCGGGTGTTGATTCGGCCAGAGGGGACGGTGAGGAGTTGGGGGAAGAGGAGGAGGAGTGAGACGAATCCCCCCGGTCTTTCATAGCTGCTGCTGCCGCAGCAGCTGCCCTCTTCTTTTCCACAGCTGCATCAATGGCTAGATCACCCTTTTCTGGCTGAGGGACTCCGGAGCGTTGACCTATGCCGCCGAATAGTCCATGAGCATCGCCTACACCTCCCTCAGATCCTGCGGTATGCACTGGGACAGCTTCATGTGACGATACAGTAGCCACACTCCACGCTGCACATATCTGACTCTGGGAGTACGCCACAAGTATCTCCGAGATGAGTTCATGGAAGGGCTAGTAAGGACGGGATCAACAAAGTACTTTTGGATAGACTTTGGATCGCATATGTGATCGGGGAAGAGGGCAGATTTGACGGAAATGTGTGGGACATCGTTGAATTGCGCGACGATGTTCTGCCAGTGCTCTGGCCCTGCAAAACTGTGGGTTTGGTGGGTTTGTGGTGAGAAATGGTGGAGGAGGAGGACGGCGGGTTTGTCGGGTCTGATGAGGATGGCATTTCAAAGTGGGTCCATCACGTCTTGGTTCCTGTGGGATAGGTTAGTTTCAATGCTAAAAAGAGAAGGGGAGAAAGAGGAAGAGGAAGAGGAATGAATGTAAAAGGGAACTTTAAACTGGAAGTGTTGAAGGATGAAGAAGGTGAAGATGAAGCGGAAAGACAAAGAAGGGATTAGGACCACCACCAACATGCAGTAAAAGACCAAAAGAGTCAAACTTTGGACTGCCCCCAAGATATAGCGGAGATGATAGGACACAAAAGACGAACGCAAATCGTTTAGTTGAACCAATAGAAAAGAAGCAAAAAAGCAGTCACATTTCGATGACAGAAGGAAGACCCCTATTTTTTTAAAAAAGATAGAAGTGGCAAGGGGGGAGGAAGGTAAGGCCTGACAAGGATCCTGGTGGCGACAAACAAGACAAACTCAAAGAAAGGACGCTTCTGCCTGAGCTTTCAAACAAAGATTAAAAGGAAAGAAAGAAACATGCACGGGCTACCTGCCGAACGCCGCCGCTAGGTGGGTGAGGGGACAGATGTTATCTCAAACCAAAGTCACCGAAATTGGAGAAAGACGTATGGAAACAAGAAGGAAAAGGAGAAAAACATAGAGGGGCGGTCGCTAGGACGACCATGTGAGAGCCCCAACATCCAGAGGAGTCAAAGTCAAGAGTGCTCCCAATAAGATGTGCGGCATGATAAGAACGCAGAAGACAAACCAATACAATAAAAAAGCAAAAAAACGGTCACATATGGATGACACAAGAGAGACCCCAACTTTCAGGAAAAGTATAGAAGTCGCTGAAAGTGATGCCTGAAAAGATATCGAAGATGAAGGCAAAGTCCAAACGCAAAGGACAAAGAAAGGAAGAAACATGCACAGGCTGCCTTCCAAATGCCGCTGGGTGAGGGAACACCTGGAGGTTATAAAGAGGACAACCAAAGGAAAGGAAAAGCCACATGGAAACGCGACGAGAAGAGAAGAAGGGAGGTGAATCGCACCTCTGCGCCGCGGGTTCCCATAAAAAGCAAAAGGTAGGTCACAATGGCTCGTCGCGCTCAAAGAAGGACAAAAAAGAAACGAAAAGGGAGGAGGCTCTCTCCAGAGGTTTCGGCCATAATTTAAGTAGAAGAGAAAGAAGGGAACATGGACAGGCTGCCTGCCAAACACCGCTGGGTGGGCGAGGGGACGATCAAACCAGTGTCACCGAAATTGAAGAAAGACGCAAAGAAACGCAAAGAAGAGAAGCAAAAGAAGGGAAGGGTCACACGTCCGCGCCATGCCTTCCAAAGAGGAGCATAAGAAGATGGGAGTGGCCATAGCTGAAGGAAAACCTGACGGAAGAGAGAGCCACAACGAGACCCACGGTAGAAGATGAATGAGCAAGTGAGCAAGATGGGATAGCCTCGTGGGCGGCTACCATTGCTTGGTATGGGAAAAGTCCGTCTTATGGGCGGGTGACGATAAGGACCTAAGGTGGCATGGAATGTATGATAAGGTGGGTGGGCACAACGAACAGAAGCAAAAAGAAAAGAAAAAGATGGTATAAGGAAAACGGCCGAGAAATGAAAGAAAGAGCAAAGAAACGAAAAGAAAACGTACGGTCCATCCTCCGTATCCAACTGAATAACCAAATCCGTCTGATTCGGGAGATGGTGCGAGTTACAATAGCCAAAGTATACCGAATTCGTGGGTCGCAGGACGCCATTTGTCAGTTCCATAGCTGGGTGTGGAAAAACTGTGTTCCACCATTGGAAGGAGCGGGAGGGGTAGCATGTAGGGGAGATAGGCTTGTCCCCTGCTCCGTGGCATGCTGACACTGCGTGGGCAGTCGTATGTGAGTTTCTGGGTGGAAAGAGGAAGAAGAAGGGATACACACCCGAACCGCCCAAAACAGAGATAGTAACACTCTGCCCCGCCAGCGCCTTATTCAACACCCTCTGAATCCTCGCGCCACTCCCCAAATGCATCCTACTCTTCGAAAGCATAACAGCACCATACTTTGCGCCGATCCTATCGCCAGGACTATAACTCGGACAAAAATCAAAAGGGTTCGGTATAACAGGTTCGCTTGAGTTGAGGTAATCCTCGGCTTTTAGATCCGCATTGGAGTAGTTTGGTATTGATGAGGAGGAGTAAAAGAGGAAGTGGCTTGGCGTCAGAAGGAGGAAGATAAAGAAGACAAGAGCCTGATGCGGAACATATGGGCTCTTGTCACAGTGGTAACTCGCCTGCTTTGCATATCAATGTCCTTGCATGAGGTCGTGGGTTCAATCCACACAATGTCTATCTTGATTTTTCTGAATTCATTTGTCCGTGCCGGTCCAAATGGACCTTTTTATTTTCACCTAACCTCATATCATATTCAAAGCTGCCATCTTACATCCGCCCTCATTCCAAAGGGTGTGATGACATGCACAAGCATCTTTTGCCGGCATCGTCTTGGGCGTGTAGTGGACACATTTGATTCCAGTGGATTGCCTCTTTGAAATCCCTGTACATCCTGAACAGTAGTACTAGTAGTACATATAGAAATGCAGACGTACGCGTCATGAATCCAACACTTGTGTTCATACCCGATAAGTACTCAAGAGTAATAATTGGAATAGATTAGTAAATGATAACCATTACTTT